TCTAGCTGTTTTGTTTTTACTAATTAATTTAAAAAGTTAAAAAAAAAAAGCGTTTGGGAAAATCATTCAGAATAATATATGGTATGACAATTTTCGTAGGATTTCGTCTCGTATTACCTTGCATTTCTCTTCAGAATTCTCTTGTTTGCCTGGTTTTTGTAATTTGAATTAGTTGTTATTTGTATTTACGTACTCTTAGATTAACAAGTGATTCCTATTAGTCTATCACGTAAAATTGTTGAACAAGTATATAATTTGACTAGTCTTTAAAAATCCTCACTGATTTTTGTCATTTTTAAGTTGTTTTCCCCCTACTTCGTTCGTTTTATATTCAATTGTTATGATATATGAATAACATACAATTAAGTTTGCATTTAAAGTTAAAACTTTGACAAGTTAAATAACAACATTAACATACGGTGGCTTCTTTTTAAAATTGTTTTGGTCTTTCCAATCCTCAGTTTAGCGTGCTGAAATACTTAAATCAAATTATTTATTTAGGGGCCATCTATTACGAACCACTGCTTTTCTAACCTTACCAAACATGCATTATCATGAATAGAAAAAACCACATAAAGCAAATACCTTCCTTTAAAGAGAGTACGTTAGCATTGAATTTAAAAAATTATTCATCGCAAAGTGTAGCATTCGGATAAGCCGAAGAAGAAAGTAATCAAATTTTTTATTTGCTCCAAAATTTGTTCTAGAGGAACACAACCCACACTAATGGTAATGGAGGTGAAACAGACAACAAGATGTATATATAAACAAATGTGGTGTGCTTTATATGGGATAAAAAGCCAGGTTAAACATGGTTTAAATAGTCTCACATGTCGGATGGTTCAGCACAAGAAGCAAATATGAGAATAATATATACTATTCATCATAGCATACCCTTGGTATTATTGCATCTTATCTTATACATATCTTATAAGGAACACAATGCGTTGAATATTTAATGACATGGTACACATATATACAAATATCTTAAAGATGTGAATAAGAATAAAACATACACGTGTGAAGAAGATAAAGGCAGAAAAAAGGCATGATTCCGAAAAAGACCAAAATAGGGAAGGTGACATTCTTAGACTAAAGAAGCATTCACAACCAGTACACACATAAAAAATGACATGGGATGAGGTTGATTTTATTTATTTTTATTTATTTTTGCTGTTGTTATTGTTGTCATTTTCTATTGTTCTGTAGTTTGGTTGGCCCAACAAAATATAAGGCTAAGATGCATGTACCGCAGGGTATAGGCTATAGTATGCGGGCCACCAGAAAGACAAGGGTCTGGTAGGAGATTCCTTACCGACAGTTTTGCACGCTCATATTAATGTCAAATTGGAGACACTTCACTAGTTGTATCATAAGGGATGGCTTGGTAATGGAAATTTTTTATATGCTGGGCTTGTCATTAAATCTTAATGAAGATTATATTGCATTGCGGGGGAAACTTCAACGAAATCTGATAGTGAATTTTTAAAAGGAAAAGACTTGGATCTGTTTCCTCTTCTTTTTCTCCCATGTTGTCATGATAATTTCAGATATGTTGTCTGCTAAACAGATAATGTTTTGATTAGCTAGCATTGCACATTATAGGATAATACCCAGTTGACATTTTTTTCTTGAGTTAATTTTGATTCATTAGTAAATTATACGACGAAACTTAAAGAGTTAAAGGAAAAAAAAATTATCATAACAATTTACACATTCTTATTTATTGATTTTGTGAAAATTTAAGTTATTTGAGATGTGTATTATTATATAGTTAACTGAAGATAAATATTTGTTTATTTGGGTGATGTGGGTGATCATTGATGGCTGATCTAATATCCTTAGACAGAAAAACCTCCCTAAGAAACATTCTTGATTTAGATCAGAAACAAAACTTGTAAGGTTCAGCCAAAACATTTTACTTCCGATCTTCCATGTTATCATTTGTTTGTAGCTAGTCACTATAAACCCTTTCTTTTTCGTTTTATTCTTTCCACAAATCCAACTGATGTAGACCACTTTGTCCCAAAAGTCCAACAGCTACCTCTTCCATATATATTAGCAAATGAAAAATATCTATGATGAGACAAAATTATTTATTCCAATTCAGTCACAACCCCAAAATAAAAGAAAATCAAATTATAATAAGATATGCAAGATTTTAACCTGTACATCAAAATAAAATTAAAATCAGATGCCAAGTCAGAGAACACGTGCCAATTAGACAGCTAAGGCCTGGTCAGTAATATGGATTAAGAGTTACTTTATTTTTTTGGTCAACGTTCAAAATGGATTAAGAGTTTTTTTTAAATTTATTTATAGTCCTTCTTTTTGTGTATATATAATCAATTCTATCAGCCCATCCCTTTAATGACACTGCATGGGTAAGACCCACGAAGCCAGGTCAGCCCATTTGTCAGGATTTCTCAATTTTGGCCCATGTTGAGTTATGAGAAGCCCATTAGTCACTCTATTGTTGATAAAAAAAAAAATCAGAGATCTTTGGCACTCTTGGCAAAATAAAACAAAATAAAATAAAATCTTTCTTAGTTTACTTGAAAGCACATGAGGATTGGAGGTAGTGAATTCGTGTCGGACCTGGAAAGGCCTTTTTTCTTTTCAAGATTTGAAGATAACAAGCCTTTAAAAAGGATTTTGGGTTCCTTTTATCTTTATTCATATTGATTGTTTTATGAATTCTTATCTTATTTTGTATTTCCTTTCAAACATAAGTAGTTATATTTATAACTAGGTTTACGGTGGATTTTTTTAAATAAAACTGGGGCTTGCTTTTTCTTATTGTAATATAATTATTGTTTTGCCTTCTCAATTAAATTTATTTTATCATAAAAAATATTGCATATTTAGAATCAATCACTCTTAATATTATTTTAGTTAATTAACTATTGATCATTCATAATTAGCTAATGTACTTATAAACTATATTAGGATTCATACTATAAAGTATAAGATAAACTGTTGTTACCTTTTCATGTCCCTCAACTATTATTTTTTTGGTCCAAAAAAAATTGTCATGCAAAATACATGCTCTCCATCAGATTATAGTTCCTGTGCTTGTAAAGCACCAATCAGTTAAATTACTGAAAGCTTTGATAAAAATTCTTAGTAAATCTGTGCTATGCAAGACTTCAAGTTACCACATAATTGAACTTTTAATGCAAACTAATCAACATCTTCGCAACAATATCTTGGTAGATTAGCATATTTTGGACAAATTTGACACTTCAGTAAAACTTTCTTTGACAGTTTGTGCATTAGACATTCTCTAGTTTTTTATATTGCTCCTTACATAGGATTTGAAAGTGAAGTTTGAGGCTAGCGGAAGAGGCTGCTTCTGGTGGAAACCATTTAAAATAGAGAGAAGGTCAAGTGCTGCTTCGAAGAAAATTTTGGAGCCCACAAGAAGACAGTTTGTGGTGCTAAGTGTGAAACACTGCAACTCATGTAATGCATGCAAAAGTTTATACTTTTTAATGCAAAAAACTTGGATAAGAAAAGATTTATTGAACAAGTTAAAACGCTAAAAAAGTATCATCTTTAAAAATATCCTCTGAAGTGGCTCTCCACATTGAACGTTTCGCATTATTCATGTAATTGTGGGACAGAAAGCTCTAAGTAGTCTATTTAGTTCAGTAGCCACAGAATTTGGATAAATTCTAAAATCGTTATGTAAAAGTAATTTGAAGGTCACGTAGAACAATTTAGAACCTGTTTGTATAAGATACTTCCCGAGGCATGTTTTACGAACAAAAGTCCGTTGTTGCTTTCGGCAAATGCACAATTAATAGCAATGGAAAGGATTTAACACAAACAAAGCATTAGTCATGTTACGTTTTTCATTACATTGTTCGAATTTACTGTTTGAACTAAAATTAAAAGTTAAATGAAAAATTATATAACTTTCTTTACAGCATCTAACTTTTTTAGTTCATGTACTTAAAATAAAATATTTTCTATCTCATGAAATAATCTAAACAAACCCACTCAACAAAAGAAAAAGAGAAAACACAATAGTTTCAGGTCATGGTAAACATTGCACGGTGATATAGTAATAAGAAAGTTACGTGACCAAACAGTTAAGATATAGATAGATAAGAGCATATACATGCAGACATATCGATACACATTATCCAAGCACGCCGTAAAATAATTTTAGAAAAAACGATTCTATATTAAACAAAATTTTAGTCACTAAAATAATTAATTAGAATTTAAATTATCATTACATTAATATTTGTAAACTTTTGTCAATAAATTTTTTTAGAACAATTTAGTTTTTCATTAATTTAAATATTTTAAATATCATTATATTAAGGATTAAAGAGATAAATGCTTTCTAAATTTCTAACTAATCAATAAATTAAATCTTAAAAAAAATTAAAACATATGTTATTGGCTTTGTAAAATATTAAAGTAATAACAAATTTTTTTGACGAAATTAATGACAGAGTCTTTGAAAAAAAATAAAAAATAACGATAAAAAAAACTTAAAAAATCAAATTAAGTAATAACATAATTAATAATTTTCTCAATATTTAACGAGTAACAATAAGCTGAAATAAAATGTATATCTAGTCACACGCTAAAAGGGTAATTTCATGGGATGAAAATAAAATAACTAAAAAAGGGTTCTTTAATTAGATAACAACTTGTCATTTCCATCTTGGTACTTGAAGTTAATTAAGACAGTTTGGTAAATTTCAATTCTTGTAACTATTCTTAGTTATTGGTGCTATTTTTGTCTTATGGGTTAAACAATACCTAAATTAATGAAAAAAAAATTAACGGGTGTAAAAGTCAAATTAAGATCCTTATATAACTAGAAACGGTTCTAAAATTACTGAACCCGATTTGCATGCAAAACCTTTGGAATCACTTCAAATATCCTCAAACACTCTTGTTGCAATAAGGCACTCTCTCTTCCTTCTCCTAATTCTCTCTCCACCCTCTCCATTAGGAGAAGGAACCAAACAAAAACAATGGCTTTCAACAAAACCCTAATCCTCTTCGTGTCCATCTCATGCCTCCTCCTCCACACCCACGCGGCCGGCATGCGCTCCCCCCAAGCCCGCGTTTGGACCATATGCAAACCCACGAGCGTTCCTCTCCTTTGCTACAAAACCATTTTGCCCAAAGTCCAATCCCTTCTCCGCTTCAACATGTACAAAGCCCTCGAAGCCGAGGTCCTCTTGACGCAGCAACAGGCTCAGAAAGCCCTTTCTCTCATAAACACATTGCTCGCCAAACCTGGCAACCCCAAAGGCCTCACCGATTCCCTCCAAATATGCCAAGACCAGTACGGCAACATACTCGACGCTGTTGCCGAAACCATCAAGCTCGTGGAAAAGCGCGATGTGTCGGAATCGCGTTTCAAGTTCAGCGCTGTGATCTCTTATTACTCTTCTTGTAACGACGATTTCAATAATATTCCTGCGGAGTTTGTCGCCGAGTCGAAGACGGTGTTCGATCTTGGAAGTAACTGTTTGGACATTATGAAAGCCATTGATGATAGAGAGATGGCCCGTAGAGCCCGCACAAGCCCACAAGCTTAGGTTGATCCAGTCACGGGCTGCATTCCCTCTATTGGAATTTTTTAGGCCCAATTCTTCAGGCCTTACTGTGGGAGTGGGGTGAAATGTGTGGGCTTTACTATATTGTGTGTCATACTAAGAAACAAGAAAAAAGAAACCAATGTTTTCTTACTTTTTAATGTGACTTTTCTTGTTCTTCTGTTCCATCGTTTTTTAATTACACACAATAAAATATATTCTTTTATTTTATTTCATTATACAATTGAAGTATACATTTATGTTGAGAGCCACAGCCACTTCATAACTTAAGAATAATTCAGAATTAATAAATTATAATTTTGGGCCCTCTTAATTTCTCCCCACAATGTGAATTGGATTTTTCGTTAAGTAATGAACTGTTTAAATGAACTTTATGTTATCATTTCACATTAGACTGTAGTTTATTAAATTGTGTGTTTGGATATCTAGTTTAATTAAAAATTTATTTGATAATTTTTTTTTATTTTTTTAAAAATTTAAATAATTTCAAAATTCTAGAACTGAATCAAAACTTTACATAGTTTGATTTTAAATTTGCAACCATTTAAGAATATCAATAAGGTGGCTCACTTGTACAGCAAACACTATAAAGTTAAAAAAAATAGCTCTCACTTGTACAACAAACACTGCACTTCAAAAGAAGTTTAAAAAAAGAAAATTCTAAGGTCCTCTCAATCGTTGCAAAAGAAATAGAATTGTAAAAATAAAGCTATTGCATAAGTAAATTTCAAACATTTCAAACAATTAAGACCATTGATTAGAATGTGTATTAAATTGATGGTTAAAATTGAAACAAAAAAAAAGTAAAAAACTATATTAATAACCTGAATTTGTTGTTAGTCATGAAGGGTAAAAAAGTAAATACGAAGCTTATATACATCTAGATCGTTGATTGGCATTATCCAAACTGATCTAAAATTACGACTTATGATTGTCATGAAGGTATTTACATCTGCCGCTTCATCAGACCGATGTAAATGTATGAAAAATCTTAAAATAAAACTATTCACATATGGCATCATTCGAACCGATCTAAAACCACGACTTATCATAGTCATGGAGATATTTACATATGGCGCATCATCTGGCCGATATAATTGAATTGTTATCATGAAATAAAACCATTCATATATCTAAATTGATATAAAACTATGATTTATTATCAAATGGAAGTATTTACATCTCCGAACTAATTTAAAAGCAGAAAGTTATCATGCAATGATGGAAGGTAACATCCATTACCCATGGGACGTGGACTTCCTACGCTCTTTCCCATTACATATTTACTATTAGTCAATTAATTTTTTTAAATATATAGTATAGTGACAGGGTACATCCATTTCTACTTGTGAAATTCAAATATATTAAATTTAGTGGTTATCGCTATTATGCAAAACTGTGATCATGGTAGACATATATATTCACGTCAAAAATGTGTAATTGTGTAATTATATAATTTTCATACAAGTTCACACCTATGTCTGCATGGATAATAGTCTAAAATATTGAAATTAGACGTTATGTTATATCTGACTAAATGCATATTACAATAACATCCATTAAATTCACGAGGAATTTGTATTTACCAGCACATCAACAACCTTTAAGTACACGGGTAACATTACCTACCAAAAATATTAACAATATTGCAACAAAGATGTCATAATTACATAATTTAATTTGACCAAAATGCAAAATGACTAGAAAGTGGATGGTTGTGGGCAATTTCTTTTTTGAAGTGCATGTTAGCTTATATACCATGCATATTTTAAACATAAAACAAATAAATTCACTATAGCAATTTTGTATGATTGATTTGTAAAATCCAATCTTCCATATATAATTGTTTAATAATAATCATAGTAATGCATAGGCGGCCTAAGAAACAAGTTGGTGTACACTACGAAACGGTCCTTTTACATTTGGTTATGAACATTAACATGGGACCTGTCCTCAAGCTGATGTTAATACACAGAAGATGTTAAAATTAGAAGGAGACTTCATCTACATCGGGTGGTTAGATGTCGACCGATGTCCCAATTAACGCCATGAGTAACGTAATAATAGATTGAAATAAATCACATTGGCTCTTTTGGTGCACTGATGTGGACATCAAATTCATGCGTATATCTTTATGAAATGAATCGTCAAACACATGCCCTGTTCTGTTGACCACTCATGGCTGGGAGCTCATAGAGGAAAGGTCGGCCTTCGACCAAACTTTCACATATTATAGTTCGAAGTAACGCTGAAGAAAGGATTCTAATACAATTTGACGTTTCAACAGGCAATCCATTGGGACTGAATGCAGCGCAATTCAAGAGTTATGTTACACTTCTTGCTCGTACTAAAGTCAATATACTTACTAAGGACTAGGAAGGAGTAGACATGCGTTTCAAGGATCAAATTTGGCAAACTATTCTAGTACATAAAACTTTGATTTTGCTCTAATATCATGTTGTTACTGTGCTTGTAATTATGTGGTTAACCATTGAATGCATAAACTGATGTGTTGTAGCTCACTTATGACCGCTGGAGTGTACAGTACAAACTCAACAAATAGATATAAAATATAAAACAACAAAATGTAGAACTCAAAATAGTACAAATACAAATGTCTACATTAAATTACCAATTTCTTTTTTTATAGTGTAACTTGTATGATCGGTTATCTCTCTTTTATTTTGGACCATTGGATTTTTATCAACGATTAACAATGTTTTAATGCTTTTCAAAAGTCATATTACCCTTATTTTTTGCAATGAATAGGAAGACTTTAGAATCACCCTAAATCTTGAGTAGTTTTCTCTCTTCTTTGAGTTTTGGGTTCTTGAACTCATTTAATAATATAAAAAAGCATATATATGATATATGTGATTTTTGTTATATAAGCATTTTTATTATTATTGGTTGTTAATTTAAAAATCAAATAAATGTCAGTTAACATATTGGCTTGATCAGTGAACGATACTATAGATTAAGCTAGGTGAAAAGAAAATTTCGTTTTAAATTTTTTGGTAAAAAAAAGTTCATAATTATGCTCAAATGTTTATTAGTTAGATCCATTTTAATGTTTATACTCGAGATTATGTGTTTGAGCTGGCTTAGACAATTATAATTTTGCTCAGAAATTATGGAACCCAAATTTAATTTATTTAATAATACTATGCTTTTTGTTCAATATACTGTGTCATTACTGCTGCATTTATGGATTTTTGTTTTGTTTTTGATACTGTTTGCCTTTCATAAGAGTAAAAATAAAAACTAAATAAAAAATTTTGTTTGAGTAAACAAGAGATTATGACATATAAGTAAATACCAGGTTTTCTCCCTTTCACTTTCTCAGTGAATTTAACTAAGAAAGAATGGGATGAGCTTCCAATGGGAATGAAAATGGACATGCAAACTTTATCTTGACCCAACAACAGGAAAAATAACTAAATGATTCACTAAATTTGTGAAAAATTCTCATAACTTTATTAAAAGAAAAATAAAAACAAAGGAAGAATAATAAAGGAAGGATAGCATAAAAGCTCCAAATGTAACCTTGCTACAAATTATAATAAGGTATACAAAAAAATATAAGTAACAAAAAATTGTTAACTAACATTTTTTTTTTCTAATATAATTCATTAGTTATTTTTGTCACATATTATTTATTTATTATTTTTATGTATTATAATTTTAGAAGTACTAATAACGTGTTTTTCTTGCTTTAATTTTATAAATTTTAATAAAAATTAAAAAATCAGGGAAAATTATAAATAAAATTAAGAAATTAAAGTACTAATTTTGTTATTTTGATAAAAGAATGTTAAATTAAATTATTATAGCTAATTTCAAATAATTGAAAATAATAAAATTTTATTAAAAAATTTATTACATTTTTATATTTTAATATAATAAATATATTTTTAAATTAAAATTTATTATTTTTGAATGATTAAACTCAATCTTAAAAGTATAGACTAATAAATTTTTTTAAATATATATCAATATAAAGTATATTATGTGTGCACATGCTTCTTGACCTTCTCTATTACAATATAGAATTTGAAAGTCATGTCCTTCCATCACTTGGTATTTTACCTAAACCAACACACTTATCCATGTTTCTAATTATACAGTAGCTTGTAAAGTTGTCAAAAAAAAAAAGAAAGATAAAAGAGTAAAAAATATAATATCATGTTTCTAATTATACAGTAGCTTGTAAGTAAAGTTGTAAAAAAAAAAAAGATAAAAGAGTAAAAAATATAATATCAAGTATTATCCTAGCACTCAGATCTCTGAAAATCATGTCTTTATATCATTTGGTATTATCAAAAGGCATTGTACCTACACACTGCTACTTGGATCCAATTTAGTTCTTATAAAGCCGTCACAAAACAAAGATAAAATAGTAAAAAAACACAATAGCGTGTAAAGTTGTAAAAAAAGATAAAATAGTAAAAAATAAAATATCAAGTGTTATCCTAACACTATAGAGTTAGATCTGACTATATTGTCAATTATCAACACCAAGCACACTTTTAAAAAATTATTATATTTTTTTAAAATCTTCAAATGTAGCCTAAAATTACAATTAGATCACCCATTCACATGATTTATATATAAACAAATACCACTAATATAAAAAATATTAAAAAATAGAAAAAAATACTTATAATACAAAATTGAGTACCTCGCCACTCTCCTTTCTATTTGTACCTCTAAATCCATAGTAACTGTGCATGGCTCAATTCTGTACATTTAGCTATCAAGATGTCTTTGGTCGACAACTTAGTATTCATTTACTTACTCATCTTGCAATAGACATAACAAGCGGCAAAAGAATGAAGAAGACACTCCTTCTTCATCCTTTCTTCTCTCTTGCCTATCCCAAAACCTTCCTCTCTCTTTCCAAAGTGATAGATCCGTAATTTCAAAAACAAAGCTTTCCCTATCTCTGCTGAAAGTTTTGTAAAAAAAAAATGATTTATCAACGTATTAAAGTAATCGTGATGTAGAAATCAGTACAAAGATGACAAAATGACTCTTAGATCAGTCCCATCCAGTTCTGAGAGGAGGGCCTTTTTGGTTAACTTTCATGCTTTTTGTTTAACGCCGACGGGCAGGCCGAACAAAGACCCGACTAGAAAACAAATTTGAGCAAGGAGCCATTTTTTTTTTCTTGACTTGTATTTTATAATTATCATATAAGATAAGAAGTGAATCCTCTTATTGTCTGAATTCTTTCTGAAAAAGAAATTGGTTGGGGGTTGATTTTTTACCCAATCCTAATAGAATATATATATATATATATGAAAATTGAAATTAGATTTTGAATCCAAAATGCATTCATTCGCTGCAAATTCAGGAGGTTAATCATGAATATGAATGTAGTTTTGCGATCAAAACAGATACTGATATATCGTGTAACGGAATATCAAAGAATATGTTATTTGTTCTGGTCCTTCGTCCTGCTTTTAATTTCATTCGTGTTGTTTTTGGTTGGAATAACCAGTTATCTTGGTAGAGATTTTATAGTGTCAAAAAAAATATCGTTACATTCAAAAAACAATAGTGCCAAAACAAACTGCACTCAATTAATAACTCATTAAAACTGTAAAATCAACACACAACTATATATCCAATTAATAATGAATAAATATTTTTAGTAAAATTTTATTATTATTCATTATTTATCTTGAATTTTAATAAAAAAATATAAAAAATAGACACTAATTTTATTAAAATTATAATATATATTTTATAATAAAAATTTACTATTTTTATTTATTTATCTATCATCTTGAAGGTTAAAGTTAAAAAATAAAAAAAATAAAAAAAATAAAATTCATTTTAGTTGTTAATAATATGCTCTTATTTAATAATAGATAATATATTATCACAAAAATTATTTATTTTTAATAATTAGTTTGAAATTTATATTTAATTAATTGATAATATAAAAATATATTAGTAATATATTTAAATTCATTTATACTGTAAAAGAATGTTAAATTCCATTAAAGTGTTGATTTTGTTATTTTAATAAAAAGAATGTTAAATTTAATTATTAAAACTAATTTCAAAGAATTGAAAATAGTAAAATTTTATTAAAAAATTACTACCTTTTTATATTTTAATATAATAAATATATTTTAAAATTTATTATTTTTGAATAATTAAACTCAATCTTGAAAATAGAGACCAATAATTTTTTTTAAAATAAATGTCAATATAAAGTATATTATGCGTGCATGCACTCTTTTGAGCTCTGCTACTACAATATAGAATTTGAAAGTCATATCCTTTCATCATTTGGTATTATTAAGATATTGTATTTGAACCAACACATTCATTTATAGTTCCAATTTAGTTATTGTAAAGCTGTCACAAGAAAAAGATAGAATAATAAAAAAAAACACAATATCTTGTAAAGTTATTATAACAAAAAAAAGGATAGAATAGTAAAAAAATAAAATAATAAATATTACCCTAACACTCACAACATCATAAAGTTATACTATGATAACAGGATCAATAGAATTGATCAAATATGCTATCAATTATTAACACCAACCACACTTTTAAGAAATTATAATATTTTCTTAAAATCTCTTTAGAAGCTTTAAATGTAACCTAAAGTTACTATTAAATCATCAAACTCAAACATTCACATGGTTTATATACAGATAAATACTACTATGCAATTGCACAAATTACACAATTGCATGCACGTACCAATTCCAGTATGCATGGTCGGCTGCAGAGCATTGAAAACCCAACAAATCAATAAACAGACCCTTTCATCAGTTTCTTCAAATCTTTTAATCTTTTATGACACGGTTCCAATGATGTTGTTGGTTGGGGTATTTTGTGGTGGTGGCAAATTCTTAGGTTCCTGACCCTTTTTCAAATCAGCAATGATGTCTAAGCAGTTTCCTCCCAATTCGAAGACGGCTTCAGAATCATCATTTAGTGGGAACGCATCACCTTCGAATTGGTCTTTGCATGTTTGTTGGTATGAAATCACGGCACTGAACTTGAAACTTGCGTCGATCATATCGAATCTAGCCATACAGTCTTTTGTTTCTTTGATAGCGTCCAATATCATATGGTATTGGTCCTTGCATGCGTCAAGGGAATCCTTCAATGATTTAGTGGTGTCGGGTTTGGCAAGTAGGGTTTGGATGAGATTTAGGGTTTTAGTGGTTTGGCTGTGGGTGGCTTCTACTTCCACTTCGAGGGCCTTGAAGGGATCAAGGTCACCATGGAGGAAGTGTGGTTCAATGGTTTGGGCGCAAAGGTTTGGGTTTGAGGTTTTTTGGCAAAACTCCTTGATGTGATTGAGGTTAAGGGATCGACTCACAGCGTGAATGTTGTTGCGTGATGAGGAAGCGCCATTGGCGAGGAGGATGAGGGAAGAGATTGATAGGATGAGGAGAGAGGATTTGATCGTGAAATCATGATGATCCATTGTCTCTTCTCTACAAAAAGTATTTAAAACTTGGAGATGAGACGAATGGAAATGAAAGTGATCATCATTAGATTGTGTGGAATGAGAGGAAGATTGAGGGGATTTTAAAAGGCTTGTTATTGTCCATGTAATTAGGATTTCCATTCAAAATATTGGACCAACTTAGAAACTGTCTTGTTATTGGCTTTTTGATGTTTGATGATAGGCTATTTGTGTATTCCTTTTTGAACCGTTGGTGTTCCTCAAGTTGGAGTTTGCTACACATGCCATGGTATAAGGACAAGCATTTCTTAATTAAGAAATAAAGGAAATAGCTTGACAATGAATGAAATGTTAATAACTAAGAATAACTGAGATAATGATGTGGTTGATTATTACTCGAGACCTGGTATATAGGGTGTGTGTGTGTGTTTCTAGAACATTGAACAAATTGATAAAAATAAATTTGTGAGGATAATAGAATGAGGGAGAAGTTAAGATATTGAAAGTTCTCTGAAGAATTGGAAACCACGTCATGACAAGTGAGGCGAATTAAATGTTGTCTTAAAACCAATATTAATAATCAATTTGGTTTATGATATTATGAAAAAGTAAATTTAGTCGACAGCCTTGTAGTAAATTCATATGGTCTCCAAAATTAAAATTTCGATCAATTTAATTTCTAATATTAAAAAAATAATCTCTAATTTTTTATTTTGTTAATCATTTGGTCTGTGATACGCATGCACTAATATTAATAATTAAATTAATCGATGCACATTAATATTATGAACTATTATGGCTCAACCGAAAAAATAAATTAATGTGATTATTATAGCTCAACTAAAAACAGCAATAAAAAAATAAAAGTAAAATAAAGATAATATAACAATATGTAACAAAATAACAAAAATATAAAAAATAGAGGAAAATTAAGCTCGACTCAGCTTGCTTAGTAACAAGTTATTAATATTTTTTAAACAAAATTTTTAATTCAAACCTCACTCTCACACACGTTCACCTCACCATTCCCACAGCATGCACACACTGCATATTCAGTGCTTGATGTCAATTAACAGAATAAAAGTGAGAGCATAATACATAAATAAAAGATAGAGAAAAACAAAGGAGAGGAAAAGGAGCACTGTTAGAGCTAGAGCCGGCAAAAACATGCTAACGTATTTGGATGAGCCATGGCTCAAAACGAGTAATTTTAGTGGGTTGGACTGAAAAAAATTTAATGTAATTTAAGCTAATAGTGTTTAAAACAAGTAAAATTTACTATTTTATGAGTGTTTGTGAATTTAATCTACATCAAACTTAATCAAATTAACTTAAAAAAAAATAGATTCATTCTTCCTTTAATTATTTTGGGTTCATTTTGTTGACTAAATTAATATTCTTGTAAGGGAAGGCTTGAACTTGAAAAGGTTAAATTTTAATTGTATTATAATTTTGTAGAATTATATCTTAAATTTATTATTCTAATTTTAAAATGACTTTCATGATTAAAATATAATTCCAAACTTTAATTTGTGTATCAAATAAACACTTTAACAAGGTCCTAAAAGAAGGGGGAAAGTTTATTGATGGTATTCTACAATTTTGGAATGAAATTCAAATCGTGCGGGCAGAGAGTGGAAATGAATATATACCATTTAATGGTTACCAACCCACGAGAAACGTAAGAATGTTTTTATTTTTCTAAAATTATTATTAAATATAGTTTATATCTTTAAAATAATAAATAATTTTTTATTAATATTTACTTTATAAAGTATAATGTAAGAGAATTTTTTGGAAGATAAGTAAAATGAAATAGCAAATCTCTCTTTATTAGTCTATTTTATAAAAGTCAGATTACATGTCTTATAAATTAACCACTTTTTAAAAAACTTTTTATTTTAAAAATTAACTAATTATAAAAAAAATCTATAAATTAAAAAATATATTAAAAATTGCATTTAAAAAGTAGTATATCATTACATTCCTCTTACCAAGCAATGACAAATTGCCAAAGCTGCGAGGGTCACTGGCACTCTTCATGAGAGTTATCTGGAAGCAATAATATCGTAAGTGATTGGTTGGTAGTTGAGAAAATGAGAAGGGGTGCTCACTTCCTTCAAAACTTTTTATGTCACTCAAATTTTGTTTACTTAAAGATACTGTACCAATGTATAGAATCATTATCCATGAAAATATTTGGAATAATCTCATTTCAAATGATCAGATAACAGTGATGGGAATGGGATACATCGATTGAAGCAACGTTCAGCTTGTGTCCAATAGCAGATCGATAAATATAATAAATGTGCTTTGACTTTGTAAAAAAGATAAAAATATATATATTTATAATGAATTTGACATGTAGTTAGAAACTTGGACATGAAGGATAACAATAAACAAGTTCAATTTGCAAGATAAAACCAAAATACAGAATACTTATGCTCAACTAATGAGGAATATACTTCAAAGACGAATTCTATTTTGCAACCACTTTAACTAATGGAGTTTCTGAACAATTGAACTTCACTTTAAAAAAAAACTCTTTTTTTTTGCTATCTAATTTAATTTGATTCCGTAGTTTAGAATGGCATTTGCATGTTCCTGCACCACCTTCCAAGCCATGAAGACGTGTGTTTTCTCTGTTAAAGTTGCTCCTATAGCACACCTTATCACAAAAGCACCTCCAACAACGGCATGAGTCATGTATACAGTGCCTGAACCATTGATTGAATCCAACAATCTACGATTGATTTCATTTGCAACATCCTCAATTTTGAGGTCTCCATTTTGGACGTTGCCATTGCCAATATTTGCAACTTTTGATGGTGAAAGCCTAAAACAAACTACAGCAAGCATTCTAGGCACAAAAATCTCAAACCTTTTGTCTTGCTTCACTAAACCTTCAAAAGTTTTGGCCATTTCAACATGGTTTCTAAGGAAATTTCTAAGATTTGCCACACCATAGCTTCGAAGAACAAGCCACACTTTGAGTGCACGAAATCTTCTGCTTAAAGTTACCTGCCAGTCTTTGTAATCCACCACTTGCTTTGAATCAGAAGCGCTATTCTCCAAGTACACTGAATGTGTTGATAGAGACTTTATCAAAGAAGCTGGATCCTTCACCCAAAGACAGCAACAATCTATATTAGTTAAAAACCATTTGTGAGCATTAAGGCTAAAAGAGTTTGCATCCTCAACTCCATCAATCAAGTGTCTAAACTCTGGACAAATGCACGCACTACCAGCATAAGCAGCATCAACATGGACCCACATGCCATATTCTTTTGACACCTTGCATAGGGGTCCTAATGGATCAATTGCAGTGGTTGAAGTTGTCCCCACAGTGACACAAAGATAACAAGGAACCAATCCATCTCTCACATCTGTTTGAATGGTTGATAACAGTGATTGTGGCAACAAAGTGAATGAAGTTGACCTCATAGACTTAATAACCCTGAAATTTTTGGGGTGAATTCCTATTATATGAGCAGCTTTCTGAACTGCACAATGTGTTTGATCAGACCCATAAACAACTAGTTTCCCTATATTCTCTCTACCAATTTGTTGAAGCATTTTGTCTCTAGCAGCAACAAGTGTGACCAAAATGGCCTCACAAGTTGTCCCTAACAACACACCTCCACCACTACCTGAAAAGAGAAAAGCCTTGGGAAGCTTCAGCACTTGTCCAAGCCAATCCATTACAGTGCTTTCAAGTTCAGTGGCAGCTGGTGATGACACCCAATTGAAACCAACCACGTTGAGTCCAGTGCTTAGCATCTCTCCTACAAACCCTGCAGTGCTACCACTGCAGGGAAAGTAAGCAAAGTATTTAGGACTTTGCCAGTGAGTTATGCCAGGAATTATGTGTTGGTGCATGTCTTGAAGGATGGTTTCAATAGGTTCAGGATTGAGAGGGGCAAAAGTTGGCAAGAGTTTTGTAAGATAACCAGGTTCTACTTGACTTAGAACTGGATAGTTGCCAACATTCTCGTAATAATCAGCAAGGAAGTCAATCATCATGTGCCCTTGCCTTCTAAATTCTTTTGGATCTAAGGGGTTCATGATGAGTGTATGATTGGTTAACTTGAAGAAACTATATACATAAATATATATAGAACATAGACACAACCAGAGTGCTCTGTCTTTTCAACCTTTTAAATTTTGGTTTCAGATTGAAGTACTTCTGTTTATACATCCTTCGTTTATAAAGAAATATCTTATATGGACCGGATTAGTCTCTAAATGTTTGAGATATTATATAAAAAATTTATTAATCTAGTTCGTGACTTTTATAAATTTTGTTTAATTTTTTGAATAAATTTAGTAATATAAGTATTAAAGAAATTTGTTATTTTAAAAATTTATGTTAAAACAAAATTTTTGTATTTTTTTAGAAATATTTTAGCTTCATTTTCAATTAATTAAAATTAGAATTTTATTTTAATAATGTATGACGACTTTAAATACTAATTTTTTTTATATAAGCTTTAACTGAAAATTAAATAGTACTAACATTATTTAGAAACTACACTTAAATTTTATATGCCTGAAGCATCATATTTGTGCTCCTCTGGTCATATTGATATCAATATGCAATTTGTTTTAGGTGCTAATCTAATTATGCAAACGAGGAATGTTAAATGTCATACTCTCTTTCAGACTTTTTATTATAAAAAAAAAAAAAGAGATAAAGTGTATTGAAAAAATGTGTTAATTTAATAGAAAATATAATACAAATTCATTGATTGTGAGGTCACAGTCATAGACCTGCTCAAGTTAGCTCTCATAACGCGTGGAGGAAAATATGCTAATCTTCTAGTAGAGTCCATGTCATTGATTTTGCCAACCAATTCGATCACTTTCGAGCCCCCATTAAAATCACTTTGTTAGGTTTATGAATTAAATGATGCCATTGCCATTGCATAGGTCAGGTCACAACTTGTAATGTTATAGAAATAAGAAAAAGAAGAAAATACCTTCCTTTAATTGAATGTTATGGCAAAAAGAAGGGCGAAATTTTATATCCTAGGTTCACTATGAAAAAAAAAGCTTTAATTTTCTCTCTGTTTTACTCGTTTAAATACAAAAGGTATCATTTTCTTCCTTCTTAATTTAACAAATTTAAATATTAAATATTTTTTACTCTATTTTTCATATTCTTGCTTTTTTTCCCATTTGATTTCATTTCCAAATGAAGGAGAAAAAGTATCCTGTAATATCAACAGAAAATTTACGCGTGTTTTATTGTAATACACACATATCTTATCGTATCAATTTTACGTCGAATCTCATTCCTTTCCACTGCACGAAAAAATCACCGTTACTATATTATTTTTATATAATAGACAAGTTTGAATCCGTTGACCTGAATGGTCAAATTTATAATTTTATATTGAATTATTTTATTTTGACCGATAATATGTTATATATAATATATAACTAAGACTCTGTTAATCTGTTGTAGAGAGTATTATTCTTTTGAAGGAAAAGAAATTTGTAAATGGTCTCATCTCATCCCCTCTTCAACGTTAAACCTTAGGAAGAACGATCAGTAAAAGGTTTTAAATGTCGTGATAGTTGGTTTTTGTTGTCCACAAATTAATGCAAACTTTGATGCATTAATCAAATTGCAGCATGATATGGTTGCAGTGATTCCAAAGGAAACCTAAGAACTATTAGACTGAAAACAAATTAAAGTTTTATATTTAGACAATTTTAATTGGTATTTATTAGCTACTCATAGCAGTACTACCTGCCTCAAATAGAATTACTCTAATCAAAGATATATGTAATTTAAAACAAAGCTAGTATTCATTAACTGAATGTTTTCTTTTAATTCTCCACAAATTATTTTTGTTTTAACTATTAGTATTGCTTTTAAAAAATGTTAATTAGTGTTAAATTATATTTTTAAAATTCAACAGATTCGAAATATAATAATAAGAAATAAAATCCATATTGTTTGACCTTTTAAACTTGAAAAAATGGAATTCTTTCAAACATAACAAAAAAAATAAAATCCATACAAAGTTTGACGATGATAATTGAACAGTGAATATTGTTTTTTAGTATCATTTTCATTCTCGTGATTTATTGAGTAATATATATATTGCTTAAGCATATGCAATAGCAAATTTGATTTCTTTGTGTTGAAAAAATAGTACAATTTAGCATACAAAATCAATTTATTTTATTAATTATTTCACAAATTTAATCAAATTAAAAATATATATTTATGCAGCTAATAATATTAACTTAACAGGAATGTCATTCAATGTCTTTTATTTATCAGGGATTAAGGAACATCTTATATTTTTTAAGTTTAGATGTAATATTATTAAATTGATGGTTGATTAAATTCATTACATCTATTAAAGGAAGAAGGGAGGTAAAAAAAAATTAGCTTCTTCAATAAATAATATATATATATATATATAATTTTTTATATGAATATTTATTTATATTTTCAAAATATAGTATTTATTAAAATAAAGTAATATAAGGAAGTATTTAATATTTTTATTTTTATTTAAAATTTTATAATATTAATTTGATCAATACAAATCTTTAAATAATTAGATTAATCAAATTTGTATTCTATAAAAAAAATTATTAAATTATAAGTATATAAATTTGACATTTAGTATGAACGATTAATTTATATATATTAATCATACTAACAATTTTGTTAATTTTAATCTTGTGAAAAAAATTAATTTTTTATTTCAAAATAAAATTATTTCAAAATATTTGTACAAAAATAAATTTTAGCATCTACAAATATTATAAAAAAAACATGATTTTGAGTTCTTATCACATAAGAAAATGTAATTTATCAACGTTTAAGTCAAAATTAAAAAATTAAACAAACATATAAAGTAAATGAATGGAAATAAAAGATATACAACGATATACTAAAGACGTCATCACTCTCTTTCTTCCTCTCTATCTCGTGGTCTTCTAGCATTCACATCTGACTGTCTACATGCTCTCTCATTATTGTTTCTTTTGTCTCTCTTTAGATCTCAAATACCATTTTTTTTTACCTTTGATTATGATTCCCTGAATCTACCATATGACATTACAAACATTGTGTTCTATCTACTATTTTGGTTGCAATGAAAATTAGTTCAAACTACAAAACAACTACTCATATCAATTCATCTCAATGATCATCTGGACCGATTATCTAACTGATTTTCCATTTATTAGTCAAACACTCAAACCTCTCCCCCAAAGAAAGAGAAACCATATTTCATTCACACGAAAATACACATCGCTGATAATTATTATTCTTTCCAAAAAATAAAAGAAATAACACTATTAATTAACAAATATTTTTGTCTATTTATAATTATCGTATTTATTTGATTATAAGCTGACTTCAATAAGTTGATCCTTTTTTCTTTTTATAACAATAATAAATTTGAATTAATAAGAAATAGTGTCAGATAAGCTGAAAAGGGGGGGACACGTACCGTGTCAAATATCAGGGGTGAGGAGGCACGAGGCATGCACGTGAGGCCCTTATCCAACCCGAAGGGGGATAACAAAGGAGAAGGTGTGAGAAAGGCAGAACCAATACGAAGGATCCATGTCAGCGTCCTTCCATATCTCACCTTATCCACAATCACCATAGTTACCCACCACCAATCTCTCCCTCTCACTCACAGAATCTAAAAACCTTTTTTTCTCTTCTCTCCAATCCCACACACCTTCAATCCTCTTTTCATTCCTCTCCCTCCACACTCCCTCACACTCACACTCACACTCACAGACACAACCATGTCTCTCACCATTCCCACTAACCTCTCCAAACCCACGCCCCTCAGGCCCAAACTCAGCCCAAAACACAGGCCCTCACCAACCACCATCCTCTGCTCCACCTCCAACCCTGACAAGACCAACGCGTCCTCCGATCTAAAGGCCTTCTCCGCCGCACTCGCCCTCTCCTCCATCCTCCTCTCCGCGCCGCTCCCCGCCGTCGCCGACATCTCCGGCCTTACTCCCTGCAAGGAATCGAAGCAATTCGCGAAGCGCGAGAAGCAGTCGATAAAGAAGCTGGAATCGTCGCTTAAGCTGTACGCGCCGGACAGCGCCCCCGCGCTGGCTATAAAGGCGTCGGTGGAGAAGACGAAGAGAAGGTTCGATAACTACGCGAAACAGGGGCTGCTATGTGGCGCGGACGGGTTGCCGCATCTGATCGTGAACGGTGACCAGAGACACTGGGGCGAGTTCATTACTCCTGGTTTTCTGTTCCTGTACATCGCGGGTTGGATCGGGTGGGTGGGTCGGAGCTACTTGATTGCTATTCGTGACGAGAAGAAACCGACCATGAAAGAGATCATCATCGATGTTCCTCTCGCTTCTAGCTTGATCTTTAGGGGATTCAGTTGGCCCGTTGCTGCTTACAGAGAATTGGTGAATGGTGATCTCATTGCCAAGGACGTCTAATTTTAAGGTGTTTTTTTTCTTCTTTTATTTTATAATCTTATTATTATTCTTTAATGTTAATGATTTTCATTATCTTTTTTGATTTATTATTGTCAGATTAGAGACGATGGTTATGTGAATGTAACGATGGATGGAGGAAGCCAGGGGAAAGAAGAGGAGATTTTAATTGTGGGGGGGATATTTATGTGCTCATTTTGTAAATTTTTTTAATATGGTACATGATGTAATCTGCATGTGAACCACAATCAACCAGATCTTAGCTTTTGGGTTCTTTTCTCACTCTAGTCTCAGTTATCGATATATTTAAATACCGATGTTATACCAAAACAAAGTAAATTAAAAAAAGAAAAATCCCAAATTCCATTGACGGATTAACATATTGTTTTTAAGTATCACATTATTAAGAGATTGATAACATAGAAACGCTAATCCTGTGATTCTAGTTTTGATGTGAATTTCAAGATGTAGATAATACAATTCCATTTATTCCAAAGGACTCCGAGGGCGTGTGGACGACACGCCTCTTACAATATATGGTGCAGACACGAGCAAGAAAAAAAATAATTTAAATAATATTAATATACAAATATATATTAAATAACGTATAAACTCTACCGGATCCCGATTCTGTGTTGCCGCGGAAACTAGTTTAAGCAAAAATAACTTATTTAAATATTTTAAAAGTAAAATTAATTTAAATATTTTTTTATTTATACAAAATTTGAGTCTACTCAACTTTTTACTCTTCTTTCTCTTCTCCTCAGAGCTTTAACACTTATTTTCTAACTTTCATATTTAATATTTTTTCTCCTCTTAAATTCAATTTTTCTCTTTCTTTTAAATTCTTTTTATTTTTTATTTTTTTTCTCATATCTAACTATTCTCTTTCTTCAAATTCTTTTTTTCTTTACCTTTAGTTCATATCTAACTTTTTTTTTTCTTTCCATTGTCACTTTACTATATACTCACTTTTTCTTCTTTTTTCTATATCTAACTTTTTTACTCTTTTTTTTTTCTTTCACTCCACTCCTACCAATTTTTTTCATTTTTAGTCTTTTTTTCCTTTCACACTCAACTTTTCTCTTATCCTTATAATGAGAAGTATGCAAAATTAGTTTAAATAAAAAATATTTATTTAAGTAAATTTTGTTTAAAAGTAATTTTTAATTTTTTTTAGTGAGTATTTTTGCTTAAACCAAAATAAAATTAGACGTTCAATTCATGGTATAGCAGGAAAAAAATTGAATATATTTCTATTGTTAGTTATATACATCAACTTAAAAATTCTTTCCTTTCGGTGGTTTTGAGTTTATTATTATATAGATTTTATAATTTAATTAATAATTTTTTAAAAAAATTTATAAATTCTATTACCAAACACGTAAATTAATCGGTAATTTGAATCTACAGGTTTATAAAATTAAATTTTATAACTTAAACAATAAGAATTTTTTTATCGATTTTTTATTTTTAAAATAAAAATTCGATAAAAATGTCATGCATGAATGATTAGGTTACGGGATCAAATATATTCCTTAAAATAATGAGCAGTTAATTATTCTCATTTTTTAAAAACAAGATAATTCAAATATTATGTAGGAGTATGTTTGTATAACTTTTTAGTTTTGTTTAAAATTTATGTATTTTACTTTATGGCTATTTATAAAATACTAATGAGCTTTCAATGCACTGTACAGATATTTTTAAATTAAAAGTACATTGCAGAATTATTTTTCAATTTGATAAATTATTTAAATTTAAAAATAATAAATATTCTACTTATTAATAATTAAAAATTTATTGTATTAAATAAAAATAAATTGAAGAGAAAATATTTTAATTTTAAAAAATAAATTGATATTAAATTGAAAAAAACATCTTTGCCAACATAGTGTGTCAAAAATTAAAATTAATTAATATTATAACATATCTACGTTTATATATAAATTCTGAGTCTCATTTTCAATCATAAGTATTTTTATGTGTTGGTTCTCTTTCTCTTATTCCACATGATTTTTTTATGCATTGAGCATTTAATTTTTTTTAATCTTAAAATTTTAAAATTATATATCTTTGATTTAATACCATTTAATTTAATCTTATTTAGTAATTTTGTATTAGGCTTCTAATTTTTAAGACGTTGATTTTTATTTGTTTTTTTAAATGTAATCTTACCTTTAGTCATATACTTTGACCTTTAATTCTCTTTACATGTGCAATGGCACAGGTCAGACTAATATAGAAAATTATCTTTTGAAAAATCTAAAAAGTCACCATGATTGAGATAAAAACGCTATCATTCAAAGAATATACATCAAACAATTAACATTTTTTAATTTATTTTTACTTCAATAACATAACTAGCTAGCTTTGTCACTTTTTTTTTTTACACAGTCCTTTAGATTAGTTGAAATTTCTTAATAACATAATGTTAAAACTTTTAAATTGATCCAGCGATTAAAATGATTTGAAGTTCTAACCGTTGTTAAAAATAAATAATATTATGAAGTACTTCTTATTTGTCAACATAATCAAAGCTTAAATATTATTTTTCATCCCATAAATCTAATAAAAGAGCATAAGTATTAATTTTATCAGCAGTGTTCAAAGAATGAAAAGAAATGCTTAGATATAAAATGGATAAAAAAAGAAATACAAATAATTGTAAAAAAGAACTAAAAATATTTACAAAACAAGAAGACAAGAAGCGAGTAATACCAGAAGGTAAACATGGCACTAAACAATAATCGCACCGCAGGACACTGAGAGTAATTGCCAAAACCCGACGAAGAGTACAAGCGATTTATTTTGGCAATATCATCATCACTAAGCTTCCTCCTATTTTCACCAATATTCACATAAGCATACATAACAGCATTGTCATGGGAACTATGATCAAGCCCAAGAAGGTGTCCTATTTCATGCATAGCTACCCACACCAAATCATAGTACCCACTTTCAATTGGGTCGCTAGTGCTCCATGGTTTATCCGCATTAACATGCAACCTTCCATCCATTGGTGCAAAAGCATGAGCCAAACTAGGTCCATATTTGTCAAATGGAAAACCATCACCATGGTCTCCGCTATAGAAACCAACTATGAGGTCCGAATCCGTTCCATTATTTGAAACTTCTTCGAATGTGAATGTAGACACACGTGACCATTGTTTGAATGCTAGGTTAAAGATACTCCTTAAAACATCTATTGGTGCAATCTTAACACCCAATGGATCAAAAGTGTAGGTAAGGTGTGTCTTAAGCCATTTGGGTTTCCAATCAGATAATGCAAATTTTGAAGGAACTATAGTGCCAACGTCAGCAACTCCGCATCGTGGATTTGACATTAGCTTCATGGTTTCTGAATCGAGTTTTCCAGACACTTTTAGATTATAGAATTCTTGAAACTTTTTTATTGGTGCTTCCAAGTTTTCATAGAACATTTCATCGAACATTTCATCGTTGGTTTTCATATCACGCGTGTCGTTGAAATCAACCTTATCTGATTCTAGGTACCCAAATGCTTTTAGATATTTCCTAGCCTTGGCAACTGAAACAAGTTCTGATGTCTCATCACCCTTTTGAATATTGCTCTCGTGATTTTGATGAATGAAGTGTGCGTTAGTGGATCTCAGTATTCTGGGGTGAACAACCAAAGGTTGTGCCACCAGAAAGAGAAGGAAAATACTCAACAATGGTTTCAACATGCTTTCCAAGAAAAGCAACGCAAGGTGAAATTTTAGATGGAGTGAATAATGCTATTCACATAACAAGCCTTTTATAGTTATTTTTCACACGCTTATTCTTATCTCTATCTATTACTCTCTATCTATTACAATACCAAAAACAATACCGGAATTTTGAATTGAGTGAAATTATTCGAATAACAAATCTCTATGATAATGTTTCCACAATTTGATTTTTTTAAGCTGAAAGATCATTTAGTCAAATCGTACAAATAAAATAGTTATTTATTTTTATTTTAAAAAAATTTAAATCTGAATAGATCCACTCTATTTTTTTAAAGTTTAGATTGGGTAAATAATTTTACTTTTTACAGCGTACATATTTTTTTCATCAACATAAAATTTTACTAAACAGGAAGAGTATAGTTTTATTTAAAAGACAATCCATATCAAATAATTTTTTTAATGCATAATACATATTTTAAAAAACTTTTTCAAAGTATTAAATCCCTTTATAAATTAAAAGCTAGAATAATCTCAATTTTTAAAAAAAAATATAAATACATGTTCATAATTAGATATCACTCGCGTGTGTGTTACAATAAAATTAAATTAAAATAATAAATTATGCTAAAATTGTATTTAAATTTAATATAAAATATAAGATATAAATATATTTAAAATGAAAAATAATACATTTACAAGTAAACAAAAATTATTAAGATGGAATATAACAATATAACACTTCCCATTCATGAATTTTTAATGCAATTACACAAACCATATCATATTTCTAATATTTGTTGAAGCTAACATAATAAGTACGTGGGGATTTGGTTTAAAAATATATAAGATAAGATAACAATATGTATTTAAATTATTATTTTTTTATTTATCAAATGTAAACTGATATATGGATAAAAAGAAATATAAAATAAGATAAGACTTTATTATGCTTTATTTAACTCTTTTTTTTTTTATCATATCATGTCTACTAAATAGGCCTTAAATATATATAGATGATGGAATTTTTTTATTGAATATATATATATGTATATAATGTGCGTATATGCTTTTTAAATTAATAAGGTCATTATCTATCAAATTAATCATCTTAAAAATAATTTTTAACTTGTCTATATATTTAAGTATATATTTTGAGAGAAAATAAAATTATATTTACATACATATTATTTTTTTATGTATTTTCTTTCAAAGTCAAGAAAATTTAGATGAAGTTTATGATGAAAAAAATAGATAATTAGATAATGTACATACTATGAATTGAGAAGTCATTGATATCCTCAAATTAACCTTTTCTTTGGTTTTTCATCTCATAAACATTAAATGAATTTATATAAAAACATTAACATTAGTAACCCGACGGAATAGAATTTTTAGATGGGCTTAATAAACGAACATCAAAAGAAGTTTAAAGGTCAACAAGCCTTTAACAGCACAGATGATTTTATTTTTTTCATATTAAGACATAAACCTTTTGATAAATTGTTTATTCTTCCCTTTCCTTTGTTTTGTTTAACATTAAGGTTTTACACAAAAAAATTTAAAAATGATAATTTATTCCATTCACTTTCTGTTCAATATTACTCTAATACATATATAATATTTCATTCGCACACAAATTATAAATCAAACCGCAGACAAAAAAATGGTCATAATTAAAAACCAGCTAAAAAGGAGAGACATAAAAGAGAGAACATAGCCATAATAGTAATTAAAAAGGTAATGAAAAAGGTAATGTTCTGCAATACTGAATACTCTAACATTAGAAGAAGCAGCCATGTCTATCAAAATCCATGTATATGCCACATGGTGCATCCGTCATGTTGCAGAAGGCCAAGTCACAACACCCCTAAAATCATATACATCCTTCATGTATATGATTTTTCTCTCGTGTAATCATATTAATAATAATGATATTTTAGACAAAACTCGCTGAAATAAAAGTGATAACAAAATATGCAAGTAACAATAAACACTCCTACAAATAACCATATTTACACCTTATAATGTCAATGAAAAATCATTTTTTAAAATAAAGATTAAAATAAGCGGGCGAACGGCCTCCACCACAGCTCCTCCACCACGGTGGTAGCCCGACCACAGCCGGCACCACTACTCCAACACTCACCAAGTGAAAGCCATTTTGTGTTTGCTTTTGTTTCTCCCCATGGTCCACTAAATAGACACTAATTAGAATATAATCATTGTAATAAAATAAGTTATGACCACATTGAACCACCATATTCGGCTTGATCCACCACCATGTCCATGTCAAAAATAGGCTTAGCATGTGAGTCCATGATCTTGGATGAAGGGGACCCACTATTGGTTGGGCTAGTGGGCCCGGGCCCAGGATTGGAAAAGCACCTATTTTGTCTGACCCGAAGGTGTACCACTTCAGCTTGGGCCAGGGCCAATTGGGTCTGTAACACATCAATCTGTTGTTGAAGCGAAGAGATGGCTCCAACGCACCCATAAACAGGATCTCGGACTCTGGCGTTGGCTTCATACACCATGCTACTCACTGCATCCCCTCTCTGATGCATTGGTAGGTCCTGAAAAATTGACGGTTGTCATGCTTTTAATTATAATATTATTCACATATTAATGTTTAATTAAAAACAAATCTTTCAAGAGACAGGTTCACGTGGTGCAGAACCAAAACTTTTTAAAATATAATTTTATTGACTGTGGAAAGTGAAGGTCTTGTTGTGTAACGGCTACGCAATTGTCCTATTCTCAAATGTGTTTCACAAATGAACGTTGCTTGTTATGTATGTTGTGTTGACTGTGCTTGACCGTGACTTTGGGCGCCAAAATCACGTTTATAAGCTCCTATTGGCTCCCCCCATGTAGCCGAATGTACGATTATGAAAGCTCCCTTTGTTTAATTTTTTTAAATAATTAAACATGTTTTCCTTCTTTAACTAATTTTATTCTGTGTTTAATTTGGCATCAACTTTACTTCAAGTAAATTTATGTTAATATTATAAGTTTTCATTTTCATGTTAAAATGCAATTTACTGTAATTTTAACAATTTTTATATATACATTTAGCTTTTAAAAAGAACAAAAGAAAGAAAAATTAGAAGAAAGCAAGTGTACTCTAGCAAATAAATTCAACTAATAATAAAAATAATAACAACAACAGTGCTAATAATTATAATTCATTTATTAAATTTGTTTTCAAACATTAACTTGGACCAAATATTAATATATAAATATACTTTACATTATTGTTGTTATTTTTGAAAATTTTGCAACACATACATTATGTGCCCTATGTGAATATGTTAGATTTATTTATACTTAAATTTTAATGAACCTTGAGCAGCGCATCATTATCTCATTTAAAATACGAAAATATACTAAAGCAAAATCAAAGAGATGATGATGAAAGATGAAGAAATTGAATAAAATCTTCTCAGTCTTTGTTAAATTTTCAAGGGTGACTAAAGAAAAGGAAAAGAAGTGAAAAAAAGTTACTAAAGAAAAGCCACATTGGTTGTGATTATTATTATTATTATTATTTATTTTTCATTATTTTTTAGATAAATTACACTTGATTTATTTGATTATTAATTATTTAAATTATATATTTTTATTTATTTTAGAAAATTATACTTTTTTTAGAAAAATAAACATACCGCTTTAATTATTTTAACTTAAACAAATCTCTTAATAATTATTATAAAGAGATCTTTTAATAAATTTTTTTGCCATTCTTCAAAATTAACTGTGAATAATACTTAGGGTCACACACACACAAAAAATCTAATATTAAGACATATATAACACATATTAATCTTTTAAAAGAATTTTTTAAAAACAATAAATAAAAATGATATAATTTAAAAAATGTTAAGATTAAAGTTTAAATTGCCTTTTTTTTAATCATATAAACCATATGATTCAAAATTAATTGCACTCATTTTCATTTTTAATTGATGAGAAAATACATATCTTTCTTAAACATTTATTTTAGAAAAGAAATCTAAGTCGAAAACTAGTTAAAAAAAGTAAATCAATTATTTTTGGATGGTGTTTAAATTTGAATAATTTGAAGATTTCCTTTATCATGCCCCCCAAGATTTGAGTAGATGCCAGGGTCACCTTTCAATAATGCTTTAGAAAAAAAGGAATGACCATACTTACGCCAAATAGATAAATTAAATAGAGTCAAGATGCTTGACACTCTAACCGAAAGATATATTAGAAACTTTTAATACTATAGAACAAATATTTTTAGAAAACAATTGAAAATTTATTTTTCTTACATTTTGCAATGTAAAATAGTTATTAAATTTGTATAATGAAGTTTTAAAATTAAATCCTTTTGAATTAATAGAATAATGATTCAATCTTTTTCAGACATTTTTTTGCTATAAATTTTTAGACATATTCAAATGTAAATGAGATTTTGTTAATTTCATTTTTAATTTCTTTCAATTGAAGTCAAAACAACAAGGATAATTAATAATATACTTTGAAAAATAATTTATCATTTTTATAAAATTTAACATTTCAAGTGGGTTTTTTAAATTTCTACGTGTACGTTATCTTTTAAAATTAAAATTTATAATTTTCTATGCACTTATATGTGTAGCTCCCATAAAATAGAGCCTTAGGCATAGGTCTTAGTGGTCAATGCCTTGATTTAGCCCGACAAAAGGGGCAGAAGATTGAAAAACTAATTATAAATGATTTAATATATTAAAGTAGATTAATTGTAATATGAGAGACAGAAAATTAAAAAAAAAATAAAAAGTTTAATTCGGAAACATCTTTTTAACTGTAGGAAGGAACAGGTATAAGCCCAAACATTTTTTTTTTACTTTTTGTTTACGTATATACCAAACATACATATCAGAAATTAATTAAGAAAATTCTATAACTATCTTGATGTTTGTACGCACATCTAGAAAACACTATTAGTAAGTGTGAAAAATCTAATAACTTACAAAATAAGATAAATTATGGTTGTAGAAAAGGTTTATATCGATATAATTTTAACAAAGATTAAGACTAAAAAAATTAGTTACCTACCTTGAAAATTTTTAATTATTTTTTAACATCCAAATAAAAAAGCAAACAAGGTCTAGTTGCATTGTTATAAAAATTTCAACAAAATTTTAAGCAATAGAAAATATTATATAAAATATTTATTCTCTTAAAATTTTTTCATATAATGTTGTGTCTAACATATATATATATATATATATATATATATATATATATATATATATATATATATATATATATATATATATATTACTGAGATATGTGTATTCCTTTTTCAAGACATCTGAGGATAACACTAGGATATAGATAAGGAAATGTGTATGTATTCCCAGGGAATGAAAAGCAAAGTCCCATGTAGAAAAACATTTTACAAACATTAACAATCAAAAGTTGCCTAAGTAAGACATGTGGGGTAGTGATCAATATAGACTCTAGAGTGACATTTGGGAAGAATAAAAGAAGGAATTTGGGATAAAAAAAAGTGAACCTGAAGCATCTTGTTGACATTGCTGGCACCAAACACCTTGTGAACGTTTGCAAACTTCTGGGGTTCATCGGCTGGGAAATATGGAGCAAAAACACAATCTTGTGCACACCTTCTTCTAAGAAGCTTGCATGCAGCACAAGGTGATGCTGTACCTTGCTTCCTACCACCCCCTTCCTTCATCAATTTTGCTTGGAATCTAGCTGTGTGTTACTCTAATTTCTTTTTCTTTTCCCTTTTCCCCCCTTAAAACCAAAGGGAGGGAAAAAGAATGTTAGTGTAGAAGAATGACTAATAAGACATAACAAAAGTGCCCAGCAAGTGAGGCAACGATCTATGCTGAATGGAAGAAGAAAAATACTTGGAAAGTGAACAAAAGTGGGAGATTAAAAAACGAGTGGGGCATGTGGGGGAGAGAAGGAGTGGCCAGCATTATATAATAATTATTATTATTATAAGGTAAGGCCAAAATTCCAAAGGGCAAAAGTGATGGGTACCACTACGTCACGAATTAAAGAGTAATGATTTTTAATCAATAAAAATATTATATTGTTTTTAAACAGTTTTTTTTAATCATAACACACATTTCACGGTTAGCAATATCAATTGCTATATGTATCATTTAAAAGATGTATGTGAGTTGTCTCACTTCAAAATGCCATAAGATAACATGAAAATATAAGTAGTGAATTCCTCAATTTACACATCTTTTCCTACCCTTACGTGGGTCATAAATTCCGAGTTGTTACAATATGAAACGTTAATCACATGAATATTTGTCAGATTATTTAATTTAAAAATAAAAATAATTAAAATTTAAAAGAAAAGAAAAAATTAACATAAGAACAAGTAATAATTTTAAATATAAAAATATTTTTTAAAATTAACATATCAATTTAAAATAATAAATTTAAACGTTTTGAGAAAAAAAATTAAACGTTTTAAAAATGGTCACCAATCATTTTATCCATAATAATGGCTGGTACAGTTAAAACCCTTATAAAAAATATAGTTTGCGATTTAGAAATTTTCAGGTTCATATTGATTAAGGGAAAAAAAAAGTTACTATATAATACCTTAAACTATTCATTCCAACGTTACCTATTAATTTATTATTATATTAAAATTATATATATTTTTAGACTATATATATATATATATATATATATGCACCATTATAGGAGATCATGATCTAATTAGATTTTTTATAAAGGGAAAATGTATTCTTTTATTTTCTTTTTAAATGTCTTGTTATCAAGAATGATAAATTATTATGACAAAAATATGAAATTAAATCATTGAGCATTTGGGTTAATTAATAAAAATTAATACAACTTAACTTGTGATTTTGAGTTTGAGTATTATTAAATACAATTATATGGTCTCTAATAAAAGATACCAAGTATTAAAAAAGATCATATTGCTCTTTAAAAAAATTAACAAAATTGCAAGTAAAGAAAAAAAAAGTAAGGTAGAAAAAGAAAAAACTAATTAAAATTCAAAAGTTGTTCATATAATATTCAATGCCAAAGACAAGTATAATGAAATCTACTTTACATTAGTAATGTTTCTTTGGTAAAGTCTACATTTGTAATTGAATAAAATACAAAATAAAACACCATGTGATAGTTTCATAATAGGAACGGTTTACGTAGATAGTTTTATAGGGAAAGGCATGCACATTCCAAGAATAGAGATTAACGTTGTTGTTTTTTTTTTATGAAGTTGAAGATATAAGGATAATAATCACGAATACATGAGAGTGCAAAATAAGAGTGCAGAAAGCAAGTGTTTTCAGACACTTCTCTTTCACACAGCTTTAATGCCATGCCTCTAAAATAGCTTTTTTTTCTCCTTTAGTTCTTTCTTTCCCTCCTCCGTGTTTCCGCTTCCACCAATAAAAGAAAAGTAAGATTAATGTTGCTTCTCAAAAATATTTATATCTTTCTTCTCTCTTATAGGTTAATTTATAGGCAAAGCTGATTGATATTAATTGTCCCCCCGTTTTTAGATTTTTATTATTAGTTTCGTGCACTTAAATTATAAATTGTACTTGATTTATAACTTATTTTTAGTAGGTAAGAAATTTAGGTTAAGATTTTCTTTTATTTGTGTTATTATTTTATTAAGATTTCTTTTTATTATATTAATAAACTAATTACTCATAAAAATTTAGGTATAATCATAATGGAATAAAAAAATGAAAAATGTGAACAAAAAATATTTATTAAAGTATAGATGGTTATTCTACCCTGTTATAAATAATGTCTTATAATATTGCTTTATACAATCTATCAAACTAATACATTAGTTTGAAAAAGGAATTATAAAAATCCCATCTCATTTAGCAAGAAACAAAGATGTGACCACATCTTGATTAAATCCATCATATATATATATATATATATATATATATATATATATATATATATATATATATATATCATAAGGACCAAGTTCCCCTTGATTGAAATGAATTTGGTTTTGGTGAATCCACCAAATAGACCCTATGACAACAATGTCAATCAAGCCAAGGCGCAATATGTAGTGTACATATAGCTTGAAGGAAGCACTAAATGGAATTGAATCCAAGAGTAAAAAGAAGACCTTCTACTAGGAAGGAATTTTTGCAAGAGTAAAAGAGAAGAATGGTTAATTTATGTTGATCTTTACTTGTACAAGACTTGCGCACATGAGCTGAGCTTGACCAACAATGCCATTCCTCTTACATCAACTTCATTATAGTATGAATCCTATAAAGAACAACGTGCCACGAGGGAAACCTAAAGGTCTTTGAAGGAGCTAGACTTTTGCAAAAGTTATTAAAAAATGCTGAATAGTGTTGAAGAAGCCTAAATGGTGCAATTAAAACACATTTCAACCTTAATGCAAAAATAAAATCTACGTCGAGGTCAAGATAAAAAGCAGTATGAAAGCCTACAAGAAGAAAACCACATTGACAGTTAATGTTCGATCGCACTATTTTGGGGCGAAAAGGTTGATTATGTTGCCAATATTTTAGAGAAAATAAATACCTCAAGTATTGCCAAGGGAATGAAAAAAAAAAAAAGATAACAATTTAGAATATATTGCAACAAATGTATTCATGTGAAAAACGACAAAACAAGAACAAAGAATCGTGTTTAGCTTTTTTGAGTTAAGCATACGTATAAGATAATGCAATAAAAATAAAAGTTTTTTTATATGTATATACACGTGTTTAGCTATTTTTTAGCTAAGCACACATATTTGTGTGTGCATAGCCCATGTAAGTAGCTCACAAAACTTACAAAAAATGTTTAAATATTGTTAAAGAAGGGCTGAAATTTGAAGAAATTAAACCAATTAGAAATTAACATAGATAGGATATATAGTTTTAGATTGCATTGCTTTGATCCGATGTTTGAGATTCTTTGCATCAAGGTTAGAGTACTACACATTATTTCTTATAATAACATGCTATTTTGCTAATTAACCAGAGAAAAATAAAAATGGAATGCATATTATTGTTGCTCATTTATTCTGTTGAAATTTATTACAGTGGAAAGTCTTGGGTTTGTTCAAAACCAGTTTTGTTTACATGAATTAATGATATTTTTCAATTGACAAAGCTATTTTTTATAAAGCGTAAAAAATATCAAAATAATTTTTTTTCTTATTTAACAAAGTCATTTTTTAAAACACAGAACCAAAAATTAATACTGAACATGCATAAAGATCATCCGAGAGTCAATACAATTAGATAAAGCACAAATAATCATTCACAAAAAATAACTCCACGTTAAACTTTCTCTTCCAACACAATAGATACTCCATCATTAATAAATAAACGAGAAATGTTACGAATATAATCTTTTAAATATACTTCTTGTAAATTTATTGCTAACAATAAACTGGACCATTTCAGAGAACTTATTGATCCAGTGTACAAATAAGATTAAGTATGCTTGGTTTAAAATATTTGTTAAAAAAATAACATTTTTTATTGAAACTTTATTATAAAATATTTCAAATGTAAAATAAAGTAATTAAAATGCACACTAATTGTTGACAAAAATTATATGTCACTTGTCTCGTGTTTAATCACAATATTATATAGAAAATGCATATTTTCTTAATTGAAGGAATATAGTTAATTATACCTTAGACCTGTAGTGATGGAAGAATCGCCACCCTCTTGCTTGAAACAGTTAAAAAGATCGTATTACCCTTATTATTTTATTATCTAAAAATAACATGCATACACAGATATGATCTCAACATCACACTTTCAATAAAACATACATCATACTAATTAGATGACTTAAATATAGTCTTGTAAGGTTTTTATTTTAGTTCCTCAAATTTTATTTTTAATTTTAGATCTTTATTTTTATAATTTAATATTTTTTATTTTTAATGATGATATTACTAATTAAAAAATTATCTTATATTAAATTTTTGTTATACCATATCAATTCGAAACCATTATAAATATTATAGTTTACTACAGTGAAATTGAAAATCTATGTTGGATTGTTTAAGGGGACTAAAAATACCCAAAAAAAAAAAATCTTCACGGTTAAGAATAGATAAAACACAAATGAATTATGACACTGCATCAGTGCATCTAACCAAAACCTCGGGGCATTGGGAGAGTTGCCACTTATATACACGTTACTTCAACACAATCTTGAACAATTATTAGTAATTTTAATTTTTTATTAATTTATTTGACTCATGTTCTTCTATATCTTGTTCTATCTTGTGGTTAGGTGAGTGTCGGGGGAAAGGGAAAGAGGTAAATAGATTGGAAGGAAGATGATAAAGCAAAGCAATATTTATAAACTGAATGAAGATTTTTTAAACTCTTTGTTCACCCACCCGCATAAACTGCGAAGCACATGAAATGAGATTTGACAAATCTCATAATGAGATGCTCATTGTTAAGATCTTTGCGTTTATGGACCCAATAATTATTTGAAGTCAACTCTGGGGTCTACTAGTAGTTAGTCAATGACTATGCTTTAGGAACAAGGACTCTATCCTTCCACTGTTTTAAAGGGACATGCATGCTCTCACATATGCTAAAAGGAGACAACAATTTAAAATTATACTATAGATTTAGGCAAAAAGAATTACTCCTACAAATTTAATACGTTTTTAAAATATGTTAATTTGCATTGACTTATATAGTATGTTTG